ATTGATATTTTCTTTCTTTATACATACTCTGTATGTGTATTTCCATGGCAATGTTGATTTTTAAGGTAAGGTTTTTTCGTGGGGAAATGAAGGAAAAAATTGTAGGAAAACATATCAATAATAATGATGCATATTAGAGATAATATAGACAAAAATTCAACAAAGTTCATTGTATCACATAAGAGAAGTAAAGTTAAAAATAGGAAAGCTTGGAATAATTCTCACACAGAATTTTGGGTTCAATAAGTGGGTACATAAATGACCAATGACAATTTTAGAAGAAACTTAGCCTAAATCAACCAAATGCTGTTGCCTTAAAGATATGATAGTAAAGAAAATAAGAAAAATTACCGATTTTAAAAAATTTAGTGAAACTTATTTGAGCATCCTGTACTCATTTTTTCTGAATCACCAAAGTTACACTTAATCTTTTGTAAGTCTTGACTTTTACTCCCGTTCTATGTTTTCTTATTTGGGTTCACAGACATGCTTTTCTTAACAAAATTTGGGACAGATGAATCAATACTGTTCTCTATTTCTGTCACACCTTAGTTCCTTCCAGTGTGACTTTTATAGCCGTTGTGTTTTCTTTTGAGGTTTGATATTCTTCCTTAGCAGATACTTTCTCCCCAGGATATGACCCAAATATTCAAGAGGTTAAACCTCACCATATACCAATGTCGCATTTTTGTTCTTTATCTTCCTTCTTTTCCTCATCTCAGCGTCTTCCCTTTTTACTGATTTGGGATTGAAATTGTGGCATCTTGAAGTAGAGCTGCTTTCATTCAGCTGGGTTATAGGGATGACTTGTGTTAGGGAGTAAACAATAAAACAACTAACCACCTACTCAGAGTATTTTTTAGCAAAGAATCTTTACTTTGTATCCCGCTGACAAATTGTCTTTCTTCCAAGGCATACAATGTAGGCACATTACAATAGAAAGGTGCTAGTCTTCTCTCTTAATCCAGCTTTTCTTTTCAGTTCTTTTCTTTTTTTCTAGAAATACAAAGCACATATTACTTACTCTAGCAATCTTCTCTCATAGTGGGTTTTCTTAGAAAATTGAAGGGGAGGTGTACAATTTGGAGAGCTACTAGAAATGAGTGTTTGATTAAAACAGTTGTTATAGCTTTTAAGACTTTCTCACTATTCACATCAGCCATCCGAATAGTTATGTGTTTGATTGTCCTTATGAAAAGACACGAAAAATGAGTATTGCTGAGAAATTGATATTTATAATTGTATTATCTGTTAATTTTGTCTTTCTTACTATAAGAAAAATGTATTACACTTTTAGCATTTAAGCAGTCTTTAAATATTTAATTATAAATACATAAATTTTTGAAAGTAATGTCCAGATGAATTCATATTTTAATATGCATTTACTTTGGTTTCTGTTATGTAGATAAATACGTATTTTAAAAATCATTTTGCTGAAATTCACCAATATTTGTAGTTTTAGAAAAATCCAGAAATGTCAAGATTTATTTTAATTCCCAGTGCCTCAATACCTTTTTCAGTTTTAGATGTACAGGAGACACTCACAGATAGTACCGAAAGATTGAAAGGAAAAGGGAAATTTAGCCAAATGGCTTCTTCAGAACTGTTATGTTCATT